CAACCCAGATGGTTGGATTCTCCGGGCGGAGAGATTCTTTCACTTTTACCGTCTCACCGCTGAAGACCAGTTGGAGGCGGCGGTTGTCGCATTGGAGGGCGACGCCTTGCTCTGGTATCAGTGGGAACACTGGCGTCACCCTCTCATGTCTTGGGAAGCGTTGAAGAAAATCATTCTCAGGCGATTTCAAACCACCGCCACCGGCACGCTTCACGAGCAGTGGCTCGCCCACCAGCAGACCGGTACGGTGGCCGAATACAGGCGTCGCTTCATCGAACTCCTTGCTCCGATTGACGGTGTGCCAGAGGATATTGCTAAGGGTCAGTACATTAACGGGTTAAGGGATGATATTAAGGTGGAGGTTCGGATCCTTGACCCGGTTTCCTTGGATCAGGCCATGGACTTATCCATGAGAATCGAAGAGAAGTTGCTTTTAGGCCCAAGGCCCAAACCTTCTGGACACTTTCCCACCTGGAAAACTCCTTATCCATCAACCCGATCCGCCCCTACCACCCAAACACAAACCTCCCAGCCCTTAAACACAAACCCAACTCACTCAAATTCCACCACCACTAAACCAAACACAACCCGATTCAACCACAGACCTCCCGGAGAGATAAGGCGGCTGTCTTCGGTGCGACAGAAAATGGAACATCAACCACCAATGTCCGCGGCGAGGGTTGAGTGTTTTGTTGACCGTCGATGAGGGGGATGACTAGGATGCCGACGGTGAGTTTGATGCAGGGGATCTTTCGAACGTTGAAACACAGACCGCCTTGGAAGACGCTCCTGTTCAGCCGGTGGACGCCTCCCCTGGCGTTTCTCTCAGCTCTATAATGAGGTTGACTAGTCTGAGGACTATGCGCATGGCTGGTATGGTGATGGGCCAGACGGTGGTGGTGATGATAGATCCTGGTGCTACGCACAACTTCATCTCCACCGTAGCCGCTAAGAAGTTAGGAATTGCACCCTAGAACTCAAAAAGCTTTGTGGTTACGTTGGGTACTGGTGAGGCGGTGCAAGGGGAAGGCATTTGCAGGGTTGTATGGCTGGATGTACAGGGTATGACCATAATTGAAGACTTTCTCATCCTTCCTTTGGGCAGCTCTGATTTAATCCTTGGTCTCCGGTGGCTCGAAAAATTGGGAACCATAGCCACCAACTGGAAAACTCAGGTGATGAAATTCCAGTTGGGTGATAACTCGGTGACTCTCCAGGGGGGGTCAATCTCTTGGTCGCTCGGGGGTCTCTCTCAAGGCCATGATTAAATCACTGCAAAAAGAGAGACATGGTTTTCTGGTGGAGTTAAGCCACCTGGTGGGGCAATCTATGGGGGATTGCAGCTCGGTTGAGACTCCTCTGTTTTTACACCAGGTGCTCAGTGACTTCCAGAATGTTTTTGAAATGCCAGTGGGTCTTCCCCCACGGCGTTTAATCGAACATTCGATCATTTTGAAGGAGGGATCGGATTCGGTTAGTGTTCGGCCCTATAGGTACCCCCAAAGTCAGAAGGATGAGATTGAGCGGTTGGTTCAGGACATGCTAAAGGCAGGTATAATTCAGCCCTCCTCTAACCCCTATTCTAGCCCTGTGTTATTGGTGAAAAAACGTGATGGATCATGGCGTTTCTGTGTTGATTATAGAGCCTTAAACAAGTGCACTGTCCCTGATAAATTTCCCATTCCTATAATTGATGAACTGTTAGACGAATTGTATGGTGCTCGTGTTTTTTTGAAATCGGACCTTAAATCGGGATACCACCAGATTAGGGTTCGTGAGGAAGATGTGCTTAAAACCGCATTTCGGACACACGAAGGACATTACGAATTTCTGGTAATGCCCTTCGGTCTAACGAATGCGCCTGCCACTTTTCAGTCTTTGATGAACTCGGTTTTCAAACCGTTCCTTCGTAAGTTTGTGTTAGTTTTTTTTTATGATGTGTTGGTCTATAGCAAGTCACAGGACGAGCACATTAAACACTTGAAAGAGGTGTTACAGGTGCTGAAAACGCACCAATTGTATGCTAACTATAAAAAATGTGAGTTCGAGCAGGAACGTGTGGCATATCTTGGTCACATTATCTCAGGTTCGGGGGTGGAGGTGGATCAGTCTAAAATTCAGGCTATGTTGGACTGGCCTCAACCACGAAATTTGAAGGAACTACGTGGGTTCTTGGGGCTGACTGGTTATTATTGAAAGTTCATCCAAAATTACGCTCACATAGCTCATCCCTTGACTGAGCAGCTGAAAAAGGAAAGTTATGGATGGAATGATGCTGCCACTCAGGATTTTGTGACACTCAAGGATGCCATGACTAAGGCTCTTATTCTTGATTTGCCGGATTTTTCTCAGACCTTTATTCTTGAAACTGACGCGTGTGGTTAGGGGGTGGGCGCGGTGTTGCTTCAATATAGGCACCCCATTGCCTATTTCAGCAAATTGTTGGGATCTCGTGCTTGGAGCAAACCCATTTATGAAAAAGAATTGATGGCTATCGTGTTGGCGGTTGAAAGGTGGCGCCACTATTTGTTGGGGAGGCACTTTATAGTGCGCACCAATCAGAAAATTTTGAAGTTTCTGTTGGAGCAACGCGAGGTAGGGCAAGCCTACCAGAAATGGGTGGGGAAGCTCTTGGGTTATACGTTCGAAATCCAGTATAAGCCCAGCTCGAGCAACGTCGTGGCTGATGCCTTGTCTCGGGAATTGATTCCCACTGTCACATGTGCTACTATGGTCTCTTCTTGTGGGGTAGCGTGGGCTACTTTCCAGGAGCACATACTGAAGGACCCTCTGATTTGTAGGCTGACCAGCAGCATCAAGCAAGGAAATAAAGTTCCCAGGTGGTTTGCTCTGGACAATGATGTCCTTAAGTATAAAGGCCGGGTGGTAATTCCCAATAATTCTGCCCTCACTTCAGCCTTGCTCAAGGAGTATCATGATTCTCCTGTGGGTGGGCATTCGGGGGATTTTAAGACGTACCAACGGTTGTCAGCCGAATGGTACTGGATGGGTATGCGCAAGGATGTCACGCGTTATGTTCATCTGCCAGCAGAATAAAACATCACCAATCAGCCCCATGGGTCTTTTACAACCCCTCTTGGAGGACATTTCAATGGATTTCATTGAAGGCCTCCCGAAATTAGCAGGTTGGGACACGATTCTGGTAGTAGTTGACAGGCTTTCGAAGTATGGACATTTCATTCTCTTGAAACACCCGTTCACTGCTCCGATGGTGGCACAAGTGTTCGTTAAAGAAGTGGTGAGATTGCATGGGAGTCCTTCTACCATTGTTTCTGATCGTGATAAAGTGTTCTTGAGTATTTTTTGGAACGAACTTTTCAGGCTACAAGGGACATTTCTGACTCGTAGTAGGCTTATCACCCTCAGTCGGATGGGAAAACTGAGGTGCTTAATAAGGGCGTGGAATCTTACCTCCGTTGTTTTGTGAATGGGAAACCGAAATCTTGGTCTACATGGATCCTTTGGGCAGAATATTGCTACAATACTTCTCTTCATACGGCCACAAATTGCACTCCTTTTAAGGTGTTGTATGGTCGTGACCCATCCCACCTTCTTCGTTACTCTCAAGGCAATACTTCGGTTGCTTCGGTGGAGGATCAGCTTTTGGAACGTGATGCGGTGTTGGATGACTTACAGTTTTATCTTGTGAGGGCACAGGAATACATGCGCCATTATGAGAACAAAGGCAGGAGGGCAGGTCATTTTGAGGTGGGGGATTTGGTGTTTTTGAAGCTCCAACCATATCGCCAGCACTCTGTGGGTAGGAGATCAAATGAGAAGTTATCTCCGAGGTTTTATGGCCCGTATTATGTGGTCAAAAGAGTTGGGGAAGTGGCTTATCAGTTGTTGTTGCCTGAAGGGTCGAGGATTCACCCAGTTTTTCACTGTTCTCAATTAAAAAAATCAGTCGGCTATGGCCATGTTCCTTCTCCACTGCCAGCACAACTTACCTCGGACCTGGTGCTTGAAGTTCAGCCAGAATTTGTCCTTGGAATCAGGAACAACCAGTAGGGAAATCTTACTTTGGTAGAGGTACTCATTAAGTGGCAGCATCTCTCTGATTCTAAGGCCACTTGGGAGCCCTTTGATGACATGGATGCTAGGTTTCCAGACTTCCACCTTGAGGACAAGGTGAACCTTGTTGGGGGGGGGGGGGGGTATTGCTAGAGATCCTCCTAGGCCTCCAATACTGGTTACTTACACAAGGAAGAAGAAGCATGGCAAGGGGAGTGGAATCAGCAATGCAAGGGCAGAAGAGTCTTTAGCTTTATAATTCTGTTAGGGAAAGTTTGTTATAGAGAGAGAAGAATCTTTAAGCTAGTGATTAGCTGGCTAAGTTTATTTAAGGGGGAATAATCTGTGGTAGGATTATGCTGAAAATATTATTAAGCTTTGCTTAGTTTTGGAGAGCTCCTTTCTTCTCAAATTGAAAGGTGTATTGCTGAGTTCTGCCATTCATCAATACAATCTATCTTCCTTCTTCCTCTTAATTCTTCTGTGAATACTCTGTTTACCTTGCAGGGAAGCTAATCTCTAGCAAGTGTGTGGTGGTCGACTGGTGAAACCGTGCGATGGTCGACTAGGATCGAAAGCTGAAGGTAAAGGCCGTGTGGTGGTCGGCTGGGGTCGATTGGTGAAGGTGAAGGTAAAGGTTGTGCGGTGGTCAGCTAGTGAAGCTAAAGGTGCTATTGCAGGTGGTACTAGAGGTTGCACGGTTGTGATAGAGGGGAGAGAAAGGGTGTGTGGTTGCTAAAATTACAAAATTATCCTTGGTGTAGTATTTAAATTTACAAAATTAGCCTTGATATTAACAAGTTTTGTTGATATCTAATATCAACTTGTATCTTCTCATTCTCCATTGAAGTAAATGATAGAAAAAGCACTAGGGTTTACCTAATTTACATCTAAGTACACTCGAAGATAACTAAGAATTTGTATTGTGTAGGACAAATGAAGCCACTTGAAAATTAACTCTAAAATTCCAAGAAAGAACTTCCTCATAAAGAGATCTTATATAGTGGCAACTCAAAACAAATGAGACAAGCCAACATTTCTTGTCCCAATCAGAGAAAAAGAAAAAAAAAAACTACAAATAAATCAATCGTTGGTGTACAAGTAAACAGACTGAATAGACTGCCAGTAAAACTATTTGTTGGAGGTAATCACAGAGAAGGCAGAATAGACATAAAAATTGAAGAACTCTGGTAAAGTCTATAGCTTATGTGAAATATCTTCATGATTTGATATAATTCTCTGAACCAAGATTGGAATAGGGTCTTCTAGGACAGAAACGTTAACATTATTCCATACATCAGGCTTCGTTGGGAGCTGAGCAATTTTCTCAGCAATTTCCATATCCTCTGGAAGAACAGAGCCAAAAACTGTATAAGAATTTTTCCATTCTACATGGTTGGCCAAGCTTATGAAGAACTCGGGACCAGAACCAACCCATGCAACTGCACCTCTTCTGACAGTTCGACATACTTCAGTAGGGATTGTCTGGAAAGGCATGCCTGCAGCTTCAAGTGTTCCTTGAATCAGGGCATATGGAGGGCCAAAAGACGCCTGAAATACCACTTGAGCTACTAAGTAACAGATCAATATGGAGTAGTTGACTAATACAAAGCATATCTCGTAGTGTCAAGTGACAAGAAGACATTCAAAGAACCCAATATTCATCAAAAAGAATATACATAGTATAACTCACATCTTTAATATGGTTGCCCTTTAGATCCCAAGACTCCCCTCGCCCTTCTGCTCGGTAAAATTGGCAGCCAGCACAATGGCGAAGTGTCAGTAACTCAAGAATGTACTGCACTGAATATGGAGCAGAATCAGGGTATAGCTGCACCAAACCCGAGTATTGTAAGAAATACAGTACAACCCAGTAATACACAAATGGGACAGAGAGGATTGAGGAATCATAAACACACCATGAAAATTATTATTTACGAAAGATTAAGACGTAATAATGACAAGTAAAACTAGAAATATGGCTGCTGCACACTTGCCACACAAACCACATGCAAAACTTTTGGCAAATTGCAAATTATGCTTGAGCAATCAAATACCAGGGAAGCCATTGTATTTGTATAGTATCGTAGTAGAGACATCAACCGGAGGGAGGTTAACTAAATATGCTCCTAAGTTTGTCAAATTTAAGTATGGTCTTTCTGAGAACTTGACGGTAAACAATTACAGATGAAGTTAAAAGTGCTTACTTTTATATGAAGGGTACCATGCTCAGTTTCCAGACCAATAATTCCCTGCAGAAAAGATAATAACCTAGCATGAAAATCAATAAGGAGATTAAACAAAGAAACAGGAGCACAAAAGTACAGCAGAATCACATCAAGGGAAAGACTAAGAAAAACTTTTGCTAGTTATACTTCTAGGACAGCTCCAAGAGTAAATCATGGCAACATTTGACAAATACATAATGCTGGCCACCATAGACTATATTCAGTTATTTTACTATATTTGTAAATTGCAGCTTATCCAAGTGTCAGATATGGTATCACATATGTTTATCATTAACATCAACACTACCCCATAGCTTCTAAAGAGCCTCTTACCAATCCAAGCTCAAAGGGGAGTACAGTATGTAGTATGTTGTCATGGACTGGTTCATTAGCCGAGGTCAAGGTCAAGCCGGTCAAACACCTCTATTGGTGTACTCAAGGAGGAGCAAGAAAGGGAAGGAAGTCAACAACATCCAAGGCATGGCAGCAGCAATTAAGCATGGGGAAGCATTTCCTCACTAGTTGACAAAGCTAATTAAGAGGAAGGAAGGGAAAGAAGGCAATCAACTTTAGCTTGGTTCATTTATGGTTTTTCTATATTAGTAATGTATCACATGTAATCTCCCTAAGGTCTATTGTGACCACTAGTAATCTTAGTATAAGTGTTGTAATGGTAGTAGGAGAAAGGTATCCAGAAAATTGCTAAGAACCCATTGAGACTTGCAACCTCAAGTTGCTAGAGAGATTTGCAACCTAAAGTTGCTATTGTATCCCCTGTTACTTGAATCATTCAGTCAAAGAAGTCTTCCTTCCATAATTAATGTTTTACAATTATCTTTGAACATCTAGTCTATTACATATGTACATTAATAAAGCTGCATAGAGGCTTTTTTCATAAGACCATTGAATTAAAACAAAACCACCTCACATTAAAAATAAAGCACAAAACATATATGAACCATATGGTAACAAATTTTGATTTAAATTCAAAGCCAAAAATTAAGGAACCAATAGAGATCATCACAATAATGAGGAAAACAAGCCAGGAAGAACCAGCAGCTGCTATTGGAGTGTCTTACAGTTGATTTTAGGAAGTTCAAAATTTTGAAAGTGAAGTGCTCAGATTTCAGTGAAATCTTTGCATATAATCAGTACAGATTGCAAGACAGTCTGTACAAAAGAAATATACATCATGCTCACATAGGAGGACAATCATTACTTTCGCAGTGCAGTGTAATGGATCCAAAGTCGGAGCCTCCACTTTTGGTGTACACTAGAGAAGGAGGAAGGGCAACAGGGGCAGAAGTGCAGGCCAAGCATACCAAGCCTCCAACAGAAACAAGGGGACACAGCCGCAAGAGCTAGAAGACAAATGCAATTAAGAATTAACATTCCACTATGGAGGGGCAATATGAAATTAGTATCCTGATTCTCTGATCTCTCTTTTGGAATAGGGGCAATACATTAATTGCTAGGTATCCTTGTAACCTTGAGTATATATAGCTAGTAAGAAGGCAGTAGTAGTTTGGCATGTGATTTTTGAATGATGTTATTGAGAGACTTGTAACCTCAAGCTGCTAAGGTGAGACTGATAGCCTAACGTTATCAACTTTGTCAATAACTGCCATTTTTCATCAATCAAATACTCAAGCTTTCCCACAAATTCTCTTTGATCCTTTTATAATCTTCCGAAAATCCTAGTATATTACATGCAGACACTCACTAAAGATATCATTTTTTATATTCACATAAACATAACATGCATTCTATGGCATATTGATGTATGGAAACTAAGGGATTGCAACACTCAAGAAGAGAAATTTACGTCAACCAAGATTACACTAGAAAATTAAAGATCTCATATTTAAACATAAATCCCAGAGGAAACATTTTAGTTGACAACAACACTATGAAATTTTATACAAAACAGAAAATTGAACAGTTCACAAGTTGTAGAGGAAGTAAACATTCAAGCATAAAGTCATATGAAGTACTACAAAAGAAGAAAACATAGGCAACTAGAGTGACAGCATAAGATATATAGAGCTCATTACACACAACAGCAGAATGGAAAACATTAATTTTGAGTTATTAATCAAGTAGTAGGATGTTTTATATATAGTCTCAAAGCATTTTTACTATGTAATAGAAAAGATTGCACACCTCATATGGAAAGGTGAGAAAGAGTGTATGTCCAGCATATTATGTACCTCTCCTTTGCCAAATATAAGCCCAGAAGTCCACATAACTTTGCTTCCCGCATCTTGACGCTGTGGTACCAAAGTATCCTTCTGCTTCTTCAACCAACACTGCAATACCAGAAGAAGTTAATACAATTTTCTGGAGATTGATAATCATTGCTTTCAATACAGCCTAAAAAGGTCGAATCTTCAAATACTGACAGCATATTCGGTAGGCAGCAGTAAATGTCAGTAAATTTGTGTGAAACTTTGCAAGGAAGACTCTAACCTGAGATAATTTCCATACTAATGACTAAGGCAATTCTATTTCTCAAGTATGTGTTTGTCTCCATCAATTCTCATCAGCACTCAATCCTACCTCTAAAAATGATTAGCAAAAGGTAATGGAAACACGAAATTCCGAGTGGAATTGCTTTACCACAAACGAAGTACATAGAAGTCAGATTATACCTTGCATTTTTATACCCAATCTCGTGATAGAGTACCACTATTTATTACCATCTACCAAACCAATATTTCATCTGCATGGCATCCCAACATGTACTAAGCATTACATATTACTTGACTATAAGAAGTTGACAGAAGCATAGAACATCATTCCTAACACTAACACCCTTTAAGAGCAAAATTGAGCTCAGATAAATCAATATTCCTAGTTTCCTACTCCAAATTCAGTAATTGCAATCACTATCATCACATTTAATAAAAAGCAACACACTTTACTAAACCCAACTACTCAAATCTATAACAATAATAAAATCCAATCAAAACAATCATAGAAAATTACCCAAATCAAGAAACAATCAAAATCAACAAACCCATTTCATCAATTCAACAAAAACCAAGAATAAGATCAAGCTAACCTCACCAAATTGCAGCCCACAAGCATTACGATCACCGCAAAACACCCAACTATCACACAAACAAGGTCCATCTTTACCACTACACATAGCCTTACATGATTTACAACACTCTTCTTCAGAATAATACTTATGTTCTGTCCCCCACTTCACGGCCGTGCCCCAAAGCTCCAATTTAGGGATTCCTCGGCAACACCCACCTCCATTTTCTCTCTCCAAACTCACTCCATCACTCTCATGACTGACATCAATTGACAATCCATCATAATTTGAGATTGGATTACTAGGTTTAAGCACAGTTGATATAACAAAATAAGCTAAAGTGCAAGCCAAAAAACCCAGCAACAGAAGACCCATTGAGGTCCAATGACCCACATTTGAGTAGATTGAACGACGACCCATTTGAGATTTTCGGGTCAATTGAAAAACCCAGAAATTAATTTGGGTTTTGTGTTCTAGATTTTTGTTGCAAAAAAGTTAAGTTGATCTGGTATGATTTACGCCAAAAACAGGGGATACCCTCTATCTCAATGGATTCTGCATTAAATTGGGAATTAAATGGGCATTTAAATTTCTTGGGAATCTCTATTGCCGGATTTCAGGCGATTTAAAGGAAAGAAAATTGAAAATTGAGGTAGGTTGTTTTGAATGCTGAAGGTAGAAGATCAATGCTTTAATTGCCTCATTTCTCAGTCACTTCTTCACTGAATTTGGGGTTGTTGTTACGAATTAGGACGTTAGCTAATCGTTGTTCACATTGTGGGAAGCAAGAGAGGTGCCAAATGTCCAAAGGCCCAAATTCTGTTAATTGTTTCCCCCAAAAAAAAAAGAAAAAAAAAAAATAAGAATTTGTTCGCCATAACAAAAAAATACGTATTCATTATCGATTTTAAGTTACTACCGAGTACGGAGTATTATTTATGGAGTCACTCTATTTGAAGTTGATCAAAACTTGTGCAAAATACGGAGAATTAATCATGATAGGTTGTTAGCCATGAAAACCAGTTTTTATGGTTTCCAAATTCATAAGTGAAAAATAAAATTGCTCAACAATACATGTATAGAACAAAATACTGACTTTTATACTTTGTATTCAATCGACAATTGATGAAAATTGACATACCACAATGTCGTATTGTTTAAAGGAACTCATTTACATACTGTACCAGCTTCAACCATAGCTTTTTTTTAGTAACGTATTAAAGCACATTCTATTTAAAATATGTTGTAAATTAGATATTGATTAATTTAAAGTTTAAAAATATCAACTTTTAATTTTTTTTATTTTTTATTTTACTAATACTCCATTAAATATTTAAAGTAAAAAATATACCATTGTATTGGCATATATGTGTGCAAGCAAGCACTGGCGGATCCACATAGTAACCCGGGAGGGCAAGTGCTACCCCCGAAAAAAAAAATAACTGTTTAAGAAAAGACTTCTGTTAAATAGCATATAAAGATTAAACAATGCTAGATTGAGAACATAACTAAAGGTGCTTCAGTGGTAACTATGCAAGTGGTTAAAACTTCCTAGTTTAGTTGGAGTCTAAGGTTCGAATCTCCTCCCCCTCAAACCCAAAATGTTTATTTCAGATTTCCCTCAGTGTGAGGTTGGATACACTACTTTAATTTGAAAGTATATGTTACTACTTACTATGATGTCACTGCTATAATTTAAGGACAAAATAAAGGATGTAATTAAGGTGTTCACACCCTAATATGGTATTTGTTCAGATTTCAATTTAATTCTAAATTGATTTTTTTTAGCCTAATGTAATTTTTTAATTCAGTCAACTAATCAAATTTGAATATGTTTGACTACTCCGTGTATTTCAAAATAAGTATCCTATTGTAAAAGAAAAAACATTAAAAAAAATGAATTATTCTTAACGAAATACGTATTAATGAGTAGGCTCACTGTGTACGTCACATATTGTACTACAAGTCTATAGTACATCCTTCTCTATATATACATACTTGTTTCGAAAGAGACTTACCATTTACTTCTTACAAAATATACCTTTTTTTTGGACAACACTCCCAAAGTCCCAAAAATGTATAACGCTCTCTCTTTTACACTTTTGGTCTCCCTTCTCGTAATCTTCTCAGAGCACATAACCGGTAAGTTTAATCAAGTTATGATGTTTTCTCTTGACCTAAGGAAATAATTCGTATAAATTTATACACCTAAAGTCATACGTAATTTTAAGTCGTAATCTTGTGTTATTATTATATTATTGGGTGCGATTAATCATTTAATCAGTACGTACGTGTTCATCGTATAATCTTATGTTTCCTTTGCTAGTAAATGGAATCTCTTCGAACAACAGTTGTACTTACTGTGTTTCTAATCCAAAGGCCTCAAACGAATTGATACAATCAAAGCTAGACTTTTGTTGTGGACAAATTCCAGATTCTTGTGAAAAAATACAACCAGGAGCTGAGTGTTATGTAGAAAATGATCGCAAGAAAACTGCTTCTTATGTTTTCAACGATTGGTTTCTTGGGGGTGCTGAATGTGATTTTGATGGCGCTGAAATTCGGGTTACTGATGATCCAAGTAAGATTTTTTTTTCCTGTGCAACCCTTAAACATTACGGAGTAGTAAATTTAAAATATTAATGGCAAAAAACACGCGTATACTGGTGTATTTATTTTTTTAAAAATCTTTATTTCTGTAGCATTAATACATTAATGAGTACATGTTTTTAGAAACAATAAGCATTAATTACACTCATCTATATGTATTTTTGTTATAAATACAGAGTATTTAAATTTTATACGGAGTACATTTTAAAAAGTGTATTTAATGCTCATACGACATATAATATTGCCTTTTCCTTTTTTTTAAGTATAAACATAAATTTCGTGTCAAAAAAAAATTACAAAACAAAAATTTGAATTGGAATTAGTCGATCACATGTATATTGTTCTAAAAAATTCAATGTCAAGTAACATGCGTAGCTGATAAAAATTTAAATTGCATGTAAAAAAAAGTTTTGGAATGAAGAAATATACCAAAATGAAGGAGTATTTTGTTTTTTAAAAAAAGAGTATTTCATTATTAGATCCTTACAAATTAAATTTGTCATGCATGTTACTCGTACACCAGAGGTGTTGAAAGCTAAATTTAATAGAGTATGAATGTTTAAAATGTTATGTATATATTTTGTCATTGATTATAGTTAGACATAATTCAAAAAATTTTGAATTAGTTAAATCTTTTGTAATATTTATGCTTTGATCATTTTTCTCTCATAAAGAGATTTCAAATGTAAAGATTAAAAATGGCAGATGGAATAAACGATTTACGAGTACTAAAATAAATGGAAGCAATGAGTCAATAATCTGTTTTCATTGCACGCATGCAAACTGAATATGGCGCAAAAAAAAAATTAAAAAAAAATGAAAGACACATATATAGAATTTTTTTAAAAAATATTTATCAAAGCTTATATTATTATTATTATTTTGAGAAATAACTAACTTACATTTGAATTGCTTGTGATTAGGTTTTGGGGATTGCAAGTTCAAGTGTAGGTGAAATAATGCGCACAAAATGATGCAGATTTGGAAAGACGCGCAAGTTTTTCCTTATAGCAGTTCTCTATAGATGTATTGTACTATTTACTAGAAATCAAATTAAAGAGAACACCGCTAAAATTTCAATAATGAGGTTTTGATTGTGCTCTTAATTAATATATACATCCATATATATGGATGGTTGAAGACCAACTCAACTAAAAACGTATATATATATGGATGTTTGAAATCCAAAATTGGTTTAAAACTTTAAACACTCTGTCACATTGCCTAACACACAAACCCCTAAAAAAAAAAAAAAAAAAAAAAAAAAAAAAAAAAAAAAAAAAAAAAACTCACACAAACAAGGACAATTTTACCACAAAACATATATATAGGCATCGTGAGTTATGATAAAATAAGGGCTTATTTGGCATTATATTTTTATTTCACTTTTCTATTTTATTATTATTTTTTTTAAAAAAAAAAACTAAGGAAAATGTGTGTTCCACTTTTATGTGGCTGACTTTCAAAATTATCATGATTTTAATAAATTTGACCAATTTTAGATTCATTATTGATATACTCATATATTATATGATTTTGATAAACAAAAAACCAAGAAACTAAAAACACAATAATACCAAACGAACCCTAAATAATTGTCATTAATGTGATCACACTATCGCGCTCTAAATATTGTGCAAAGGCGTACAAAATACAAAGTAATTATTAGAAAATTGAGGGGGTTGTAATTTTAAGTGTAAACTTTTAAAATCATATTAGTCACTAATAATATATACTTGTATATTTTTTTTCTAATAATAATTTTTATAAAACAAAAGCTAACAAACGCCCTAGGGGTGTTGGACAGATAAGATAACTAAAAGTAGAAATATTGAATCAATTAAATTAAACATTAATTTCACCTATTGACGCGTAAATTTGGCACGCATTCCTAAATTAATACTTCATCCGTTCCTGAAAAATTCGACTAACTTTGTAATTGTGCGATCTCAAATGAACATCTTTGACCATGAATATTTCAGCTACGTATAAGTGGGAAAGAAATTGAATTTGAAAATTTTATAATAAGGGGAATATAATAAGATTCCTCGTACTAATTTATATTTAGTGCAATACAAATGAATAACATACAGGGAAGTGAGTATTAATTGTATATCCTATGGTAAAGATCTTATTTGTTGGGACATAAAAGCACGTAACAATGTAAGATGCATAAAAGACTATTACTTTTGAAAAGATAGACTACTCTAAAATTGTGAATGAATTTAGTGTATAGATTTTTTTTTTTTTTTTTGGGAGGGGGGGGGGGGGGGTGGTTTGTATAAGCCATTAGGCCCCACAAATAACATTTTAAGGAGTGAGATTTCAAAATTGTAAGCTATGTGCAAGATTTCATTTGTCAGAGTATAATGCATGTGATATATAGTGTCAAGTGAGACTGTTAACTACTCGTAATTTTGAAAAAAAAATACCCTAAAAATGCGAGTGAATTTGATCTAATTTTTTTTTTCTTGGAGATTGAATGAGCCATTAGGCCCATTACAAATAGCATACAAAGAATTGAGAATTCAAACTTGTATCCTATGGTCAAGATCTCATTTGTCAAAGCATAAAACATGTGTATAATGCCACCTAATGTTGAAACTTAGCTTGAAAGAAAAGACTATCATAAAACTTGAGTGAATTTTATGTATAATTTTTTTTTTCTTTGGGGTTTGAATGAGGCATTAGGCCCATTACAAATATCATACACGGGATTGAGAACTCAAACTTGTACTCGGTTAAAATCTCATTTGTCAAAACATCAAGGCTATCATAAAACATGAGTGAATTTTTTCTTTGTGGTTTGAATGAGCCCTTATGCTTATTACAAATAACATATAGGGGATTGAGATTTCAAACTTGTATCTTATGGTCAATATCTCATTTGTCAGAGCATAAAGCATGTGATACATTGACAGTTAGTTTTGAACGAAAGGTTATCCTAAAACGTGAGTGAATTTAATGTATAAAAGACTAATTTTTTTTCCTTAATTTATGTTTGAATGAAAAAAAGTCATTAGACCCAAAACAAATAACATATAGAGGAGTTACAATTCAAACTTGTATCCTATTGCCAAGATCTCATTTGTTAGAGCTTTTTTTTTTTTTTTTTTGAGGGAGCATAACTCATGTGATATAGTGACAACTAATTTTTTTTAAAAAAAAACTACCATAAGTGAATTTAATGTAGAAAGACTACTTTTTTTCTTGGGGTTTGAATGAGCCATTAGACCCATAACAAATATCATCAAGGGGTGTAAGAATTCAAACTTATATCCCATAGTCAAGATCTTAAACCCAATTTGTGAAGGCATAAAACATGTGGCATAATGACAGCTAATTTTGAAGAAAAAGACTACCCTAAAACATGTATATATACTCCGTACTTCATTATAAATACAAAACAAAATACACCTCATTTCCAATAAACATAAAACAACCAATTACCCTAAAAAAAATTGTCATTTTACTTTTCTAGTGCACGCAACCACACATCCTAAAATGCGTAATGCTTTGAGGATCACTCTTATAACCTCCCTCCTCCTAATTTGTTATTCAAGGCAAATAATAGCTGGTAATACTCTATTCAAACTATGTTGTTTTATTTATATAACTAGATTATTTGTGCTCAAAAAATATACTTATATTGTTTTATTTATATAGATGGATGTGGTTCTTATTGTGTTGCGAAACCGGAGGCCTCCGACGAATTAATACAAAAGGCGCTAGATTATTGTTGTGGAAAAAAACCAGAAATATGTGACGATATACAAACAGGAAAGCCATGTTTTGTGCCCGGCGATCTAAGGGCAACTGCCTCTTATGTCTTTGATTCTTGGTTTAAAGCAAATGTCGGATGTGATTTTGAGGGCGCTGCAACGATAGTTTCCAATGATCCGAGTACGTTCTCATTGTCTTACTTAATAAACTTTTTTTTTAAAAAAAAAAAATCAAAATTGAGTTCTTATTCTATTCACCTTATTTTTTTTATTAATTTTTTTTAACAACACTTCACCTCAAATTAATACATGTAATATTTTGTAAATACGAAGTATATTTTACCATATACTCCCTTTGTTTACGTTTTGTTGATTTTTGTACTATTAAAAATCTTTGACTGTTATATTATGATAAAAATCAAAAGATTCAAAACCATATTATATGCGATTTTATTACATTCTTCTTAAAATAATTTTTCAAAATGTCTACTAGTATTCTTTTTAATTTTGGCTAGCTTTTCATTGGCTTTTGATTTTTTATGATTAAATAGCCAAAATAATTTATTGAGCTAATACATTTTATTTTTTTTCATAAAATCTTGGATCGTACTTTATATTGTAATTAGTCCATAACAATTATTACTATAATTTTTTATTTGGTAATTAATTTGTATCTTGTGTTAACTTGTGATATAGGTCATGGCGACTGCAAATACAAGTGTAAAAATGGGTGAAAAGTTGTACAACATGATGCAAAGTTGAAAGGAAATGAAAGATGCACAAATTCTATACAATAATTTGTGTAATTTGCATCAAAAGGAAGAAATGTGAAATCAAACATGTTTAGAATAATTTAAAATGTGGCAATATATTGAAATGAGTTTTTTGCAACTATGTTCAAGGTTATTAGTGTATTTTAAATATTGTTGTTTATTTAAGTGGGGCTTGACCAATTATTAATGCACCTAAGTAAGGTGAATACTAAATCTATTTTAAAATAAATGTTCAATTTTGATTGATATATTTCCTGACACAAAACTTTGATAAATAATATCTTTTATACTCCCTCTATTACATAGCACTCGCAATAAAGGGGTATTATTTGTGAGACATAAAATATTTCTTTGTTGCGAGTAATATGTAACGGATGGAGTATATTATAATTGATAAAACTAGATAAGTCCCGTGCGACGCACGGATGCACGAATTTCTTTGAAATATATATTATATATTTTATGTATTCCTATGTATTAGAAAAAATATTGAGACATAAACATTAGTTGTAAATGCTAATTTTATAAAATTAATTTTGAAGAAGAACAACCGAATATGAAAATTTAAGCATATAAAAAAAAGTTAGATTTTTACTATACGATTTTAATTAAGCAAATAAAAAATGATTTTAAACTTAAAATATATAAAAGAAAATAGCAAAAATATATACATCAAAGAATTTTTTTCGATGAAGCATAAGGGAAAGATGTATTATATACCCATAATTGGTGATAGAAGAAAATTAAATAAATTAAAGAGTATAGATAAATTGAGAGGAGGAGAAATTAAATTTGAAATTTGAAACCAAAGAAAATATAATGACGTCAGATTTTATTTAGGTGGAAATTTTTTTCTTATAAAGCTGCCACGTGAACAATATGATATAAGCGGTTTCTTCTTTAGCAATATTTATAGATGTTGATATTCATAAATTATACACAATGAGAATTCTAATATATACCTACGCGATAATGTTTAAATACATATTTCGGAGCGTTTGATATATGGCCGGGATAGGGATTAGAGGATTGGATAATGATAGAGAATATGGATAGGATAGGATAGGATAAAATAAAGTGTTATCCATTGCTTGGTATAAATTAGGGATAAGAGTAGGATAAGCTACAAATATACCCTTACTAATTTTACCTTTGCTCTTTATTTTTCTTTTCAACAAGGATATATATGTGTCATGTCGTCAATTATAATTCCTTCCCCTCCATCCTTTTTAGAACCCTTCCTAGGTATAGAAGTTGAAGGACATGAGGGGTTTTAATCCTCATCTCATCCCCTTGTTTAATCTCTGTTTGTATAAACAAACATGGAATTTTAATTTTTCTTTCCAAAATCCTTATCTCTCTTCTTTTGTCTCCCTACACAAACCGTCTTAAATATTGCTTTAAAGTGATACATTGTGTATTATAAGGAGAAAAGCCTCACATAAAACATGATCACACTTATACGAGTAACTAACTTTAAAATGAGATGACATTAAGACATAAATTAAAATGAGATGACTTTAAAACATAAATTAAAATTAGATGACTTCAACAATAGCATAGTATGATACAAACTTTGTTTGGCAATTGGTTGTTGGCTGCTAATTGTTTAACTTGACTTGTTTGACTGGTTGTTAGCACTGGCTGTTTGTACAGCTTGTTTGGCCATTAGTTGTATCATGTATGTAAATCTGTTTGGTACAATCAGATGTTAGTTGTTGATTTTAACTATGTAAAATGACCTTAAAGGATATTATTATATGTTCTAATTTATTTTTTATTAGTACTGTTAATACTAATTAATAATCTTTAATTATTAATTAATATTACCAATTAAAAACTAATAATTATTAAATACTATTTATTTATAACTAACTAATAAATATTAAGTGATGATTACTAATTATTAGTTACTCCGTAATGATAAATAATTATTCATTGTTAATAACTCCCTTAGTCCCTAAATTAGAAGGTTTTTTTTTTTGTTTTTTTTTTGAAAGAATCCCTAAATTAGAAGTTTATTTCTATTTACTCTGTATTATTAATTGTTAATCATTAATGATTTAATTGCGATTTATTAATCGTCAATAATTAATTATTAATTGTTAATTATTGATTATTAATCATCAATAATTAATCATAAATTAATTATTAATCAATTAATTATTAATTATTAATCAATTAATTATTAATCATTAATGTATTATTAATAATTTATTAATCATTAATTATAAATTATTAATCATTAATTATTAATCATAGTTTATTAATAAATAATTATTAATTATATACTCCATCCGTCCCCAAATTTCGACTTTTTTGGCCTAATTTTAGTTTCAAAATAATCGACTCATTTGCATTAAAATACCCACTAATTTACAACAATATTTGTGCAAAATTAGCTTCCCCATATAAAATTTGTTTTTTCATGTATTTTTAATACTTTATCTCTTTACTTTTTAACAAACCTCATATAAATTTATTTTTCTAACATATTTTTATTTGTTTTTCTTAAGTTTCTTAATAACCGCAAAATCAACCCAAAAGGGTCAAAAGTTTTGGGGATAGAAGGAGTATTATAAATTATAAATCATTAATTATTAATCATTTTTGTAATAGAAATTATTATTCAATAATTATAAATTATCAATTATTATTCATTAATTATTATATATTAATTATTAAATATCAATTATTAATCATTAATTATTTATTACTCCCTCCGTCGATCTCCGAATGAACGACCCATTTGGGTTGATTACGCGAGTATTAAGAAAGTTAAATAAAAAAGAAGTAAAAGTATATTGAAAAGATAAATTTACATGGGGTTTGTAAAAAAAAAAATAGAGAGAAAAAGTAATAAGATTACATGAAAAATCAATTTTTAATATGGGAAAGCTAATTTTGCACAAATATTATTGCAAATTGGTGGGTGTTTTAATGCAAATAGGACATTCTTTTTGGGACTAAAATTAGGCCAAATGGGTTGTTCTTTTGGGGACGGAGGTAGTATTAATTTATAATTACTACTTCCTCCGTCCCCGATTGATAGTCACTTTTGAAGAAAAATCACGGGAATTAAGGAGAATTAAAGAAAGTACATTGAAAATGTAAATTTACATTGGGTATGCAAAAAAGTAGAGAGAGAAAGTAATTAAAGTACATGGAAAAGTTAAATTTGCACAAATATTTTTGCAAATGTTAGAGAATTTTGGTAAAAAAATAATATTAATAGTACTTAAAAAAACAAATGTGACAAACATTTTGAGTCACCAAAAATGGCCAAAGTGACTATCAATCGGGATGTAGTATCAATTATAAATTACGGAGTATAAATTATACTACCTCCGTTTATTTTTATGTGCAACTTTGAGTGATAATACGGTTCACGAGGCAAAAGATTGAAGAGTAAATATTAGGAGAAGTTAGTGGGTTTAATTAAAAAGCAAGGAGAGAGAAAGTGTGGACCACACTTTTTGTTTGTGGTGGGAAAGTTTGGCAGAAAAAACCAAAGCATAATTTCCCACCCAAAACCCACCGAAAATTTGGGGTGAAATTTTACTTTCCCCCTCCTTTTTTAAAAATTTCATACCAAAGTCAAATTTTCCCAAAAAATTTAGGAGGCTATAAATACAGCCATGCCCCCATTTAATGTCACCATTCATTCAAGCATTTAAGGAGGGAATAAATCATCCTCCATTGTCAGGCATTAATTACAATCAACATTGTTTAAAGGTGGGTGAAACATTCCACCAAAAACACAGTTTCATCCACAAAAGCTTATCAAATCCTAGGTTAGAATAATTACACACTAACTACTCCTTAAAACTTTACAAAAAACAGGGGTGCTCTGTTGTCCTTCATGCACAGGTGGGTGTAGTCTTCATCTTCAACCCACACAACTCAGCAGGGCCCTGACTTCATCCTCCCTGTGCTGGAAAAGAGGAATGGCAGAAATTGATGACTCTGTTTTTTTTTTATATTGAACACATTCTCAATGAAGAAGAGCTAGCAGAGCTGTGGTTCGAGGAAGAAGAAGAAATGCAGGATGCAGGAATATGGGAGTACAACTCAGAAGATGAAATGCAGGATGGCAACCAAGAAGAACAGCAACAGCAGCCACAGACAGAAACTAATGTTCTCAACACACAAATGCAACAGCAAGGTCATGAAGGGACTGGTCTTGTATGCAGAAAACAATTAACTTTGCAGCAAAGAAGAAAGATTGTTGATGCAATTTTGCTGAAAATGAGCAATGGGACTTTACCAAGGGGTCACATGAAGCAATTAGCATCTGAATTTAATGTCCACAAATCAACAATCACAAGAATCTTTTCAGACATAAAAAAACAGCTGGCAACAGGGGACTTGATTGATGTCAGGACCAAAAAATTTGGCAAAACAGGGAGAAAGCCAATGGAGATTTCTGATGAAACTCTCCAGTCAGTCCCATTACATTTAAGGCAGACAGAAAGAAGCTATGCAGGAGCATTGAAGATCAGTCTAACTACAGTTCACAATTTGAAGAAAAGAGGCAGGCTAAGAACACACACATGCTGCAACAAACCATTGCTCACATCAGACCACAAGGTTGCCAGACTAAGATGGATTTTGTCACATATAAATCCAATTACAGGGAATGAGGACCCCACATTTGTTGACATGAGGAATGTCATACACTGTGATGAAAAGTGGTTCTACTTGAACCCTGACAAAAGGAGGTTCTACCTACTGCCATGTGAGGAGGATCCCTATATGGCAGTTCAGTCAAGAAGATTCAAACTAAAGGCAATGTTCATGGCAATCATAGGGAAGCCATTATATGGCATAAATGGGGAACTTTTACATGATGGAAAGTATGGCATCTTTCCATTCACTGTCCAGCAAGTAGCACAGAAAGCAAGCAAGAAAAGACCAAGAGGGACCATGGAAACCAAGGCACTCCAGAACATAAACAGAGAAGTAATCAGAGAGATGCTGCTAACAAAGGTTATTCCAGCAATCATATCAAAGTGGCCTGAAGGTCTGCCCAAGGATGTGGTCATCCAATGGGACAATGCAAGGCCACACCAAGTTCCTACAGATGATGAGTTTGTGGCAGCAACAACAGCTAATGGCTTTAACATTCAATTTGTTTTCCAGCCAGCACAGTCTCCTGATTTGAATGTCCTTGACTTAGGGCTATTTAGGTCTATACAATCATTGCAATATCAGTCTTTTCCTAGGGACTTAGAGGAGCTAATTCAAAAGGTCAAACAGTCTTATGACACTTTCAACCCTCATGTAAACAAGTACATCTGGGTTACATTGCAAAAGTGTATGATTAAGATACTCAAGGCAGAAGGTGGTAACAAGTACAAAATACCACATATGAACAAAAAAAAGCTGGAAAACCTAGGTAGTCTTCCAGATTTGGTAGAGGTTCAGAAAGAGGATGTATTGGAGGCTGTGGAGTACCTAAACACCATGTTTAGGCCAGCAAATCAAGGCACTCAAGAAGACACAGAAGATTTGGAGGTGGATGCAGATTAGGGGAGTCTTTACAACAACCAGACAACACATGGACTGCCACACATAACCACTTATCATAGTAAGTTTTATTGGTTTTTTTTTTTCCCAAAAACATTTTGAGCAATCCAGTGGTTAGGTGTATTTTGTTGATTACAATTACCCAAACAAGTCAGGCAGTCTGAAGTATAGTCATTAGATTATCATACATATGGTCTTTTGTAAAGTTTTATGTACTAGTATTTTGTACCCACATTTTTAGTTGATTATGAATGACAAAGATAAACAATTTATGTGGGCACTAAATCCATCAGAGGGTTATAATGTTGAATACTACACATATGCACAAGGGTACCTCAACAACAACAACAACTTTCATGTTGATGGAGCAAATCACCTGTGCATATTGAAATTCATTGGAGTCCCTTCATCATGTGGATATGGGTAAGCTAAATAGCATATCAAAGTAGGGGACTCTTTAATAAACAAGAAACAGAAGGCAACATCATGGGACTCCTTTTAAGGGACTGACTAGGCAACAATGAACATGCACAAGACACCAGCCTCATCATTCATCAATCAAGTCCACACAGCCAGCAATAAAGACAACATGCAACCAGATGTATCAACACACACATGCAACCAGCAATAAATCTCCCAGATGTAACATAACCAACAACCCAACATTACACAGCAAACCCTAGTATCCAGCCTACATCAACACAAACATACAAATAAACCCTAACATTTAACATAATCAACAACCCAACAATAAACAACAACGAGTCAAAGTTACCCATAACAGCAAACCCTTAGCAGCCAGAGTAGATCAACACAACCAACACCCCATCATGAAACCACAACCAGTCAAACAATCCCGCAATAAACAGTGAAACCCTAGTTTCAGCCATAGATCCACCGGCACAAAAATTAGGACTCTTTTAAATTTTAAAAAATTTAAAAAAATTAGGAATAGGAATCGTTACGCAAAGGTCAGTGCTCAACCTCCTCATCAGAGGACAGCACCACGAGGTCGGACTCCGGCAAATCAGGCAACCCGCGCAAACGCCTCATCGCCACCACCGCAGCCTTCCTCTTTCGCCAAAGCTTCGGAGGAGGCCTGGAAACCTTAGATCCGCGCTTGGGGGTGGGGGAGGGCGCAACACTGACCTCAAAATCGGACTCCAGATCTACATCTTTAACCTGAAAATCAATTTTTTTTTTGGCATGGGACTCGCCTTCACCCTCCTCTTTGTTCGTCTTCTCCCCCTCGTCGATATTTTTCAGGACTTCCCCCAAAGCTTTGAAAGTCGTCGAAGAACAGCAACTAGGGCCTTCCTCAGAGTTGTAAAGGCGGCGAGGAAAATCATTGCCCCTGTTGATGTCGTTAATGAGGGACTTGATGAACCGAGCCTCACTCTGTGAATCTGTGCCAATATAGGCGTCAACAAGTGGATCTAGGTCATGTAACGGAATTGTGAAGTCTGGATGCCTCTCGAAAGGGGAGGGAAAGGGGGAAGACATAATTGTGGGACTCTGAATTCTTCAGGAAAAGGGCGAACGAAACGAAGAAGACGAAGAACAGGAACCCTAGAACACGAAGAACAGGAAAACAAAGAAACTGATCTAGGGTTCTATAGAATTCTCTAGATCAGTTTAGAAAAGGTGGTTGGGAAGATGTAGAGTTGTGTCGGTTGGGGGGTAAATTGGAGGGAGTAATTAGGTTAGGTTAATTTAGGTGTGTTAAATTAAGTTAGGGTTTTGGATAATGAGGGGTAAAAGTAAGATGATTAAATTTTTTAAGTGGGGGTAATATAGTAAATTCAAGGGTTTTTATTTACCAAAAACAGAATGAAAAAGGAAAGTTGCACATAATAGTGAACGGACTAAAATGGCAAAAGTTGCACATAAAAATAAACGGAGGTAGTAAATTATTAATTATCAAGTTTTCATAGTCAGTTCCTTGTTTGGAACATTTCAAGATAGTATATACGATTGTCAATCCTAGAAAATTCGTGACCAAAAATTAATAATGTGATCCATAAATAGATTGAAAGCTAAGATAAGCACAAACAGTTGTTCAAAGCATAAGCTACCCAAAAGATGACATATAGTAGTGCAAGTGTCGTCAACAAGAACCGCATTATCAATTTATCATTATAACAACTCAACAATTTCTTTAATTAATTCCATTATGTGTATTTCTTTTCTTTAATTTTTATAATCCAAACACTTGAATCCTTCTTTTTTTTTTTTTTGACCAAACACTTGAATCCTTCTTGAAAACAATAGTATTTAGTTCATAAAAATTGAACTTTGTTGCATTCATTTCCAATAGAAATTAAATTTGAAGAATTTACAGTAGAAAATTATTTCATGGCTCGTGCTTCAGCAATTGCTATAGTTGTATTTTCTTGCTTCCTTATTTTGGTCCTACAATTGGCAGGTGAGCTTTAGATTCTTCTAGAATTTCTATTTTTTTTTTCTTTTCTTTTGCTTTTATTTTCCCCCTAATTATGTAGATGGTGTTTATATTTGTGATTTACTCTTGGGATCTTTTTTTTGGTTTTTTTTTTTTTTGGTTTTTTTTTTTTTGAGGAAATACTCTTAGGATCTTTATTTTATAATGAATTATAAATAAATATATTGATCAATAAAAATCATAGAGTCAAATAATGTTTCTTCCAATTTGTTACATGAGGTATTATTTAGGAGTAAATAAAATAATTCTCATAACGATTATGTGTTTTTGTCATAGAGGTTTTTATAACCATTATTGAGGCCTTTACATTATTATTCTTGAATAAAGAGTGATTTTGTATTAAAAAAAATTAAAATTGATTCTAATATTAGATGATAATGTCTAATTACCTTTCTTTATATTGTTATTCTTTACTACGTTCCCTTAATCAGAACTAGTAACATATAAAATGACGGATTTTTTAACAAACAAATAAATTCCGATACTTAGTGATTACATGGTGTGATCGATCAATCGATTACGTACCATAAGACGTTATTGAATAGTGATAATCAACTTTAATGTGCTAGGAGCATACGTAAATAGCTAATAAGATCGATGTTCTTGGATATTGGACTTGTATGTAGATGGCAGTGAGAGCAAGTTGTGTCCACCATGGTGCGTTACTAGGCTTGATGCTTCGGTTGCTCGGGTCAATATATCATTTGATTGGATCTGTGAAAATGGAGCGGATTGTCGCCCGATAAGACCGGGCGGACCGTGTTACGTGGAAGGTGACATCAAGGCCATGTCCTCCTATGCCTTCAATGACTATTTCCAGAAGACTAGACCGTCTGGTGGTCTATGTGATTATGGTGAAGTTGCTACTATATCTAATGAAGACCCCAGTAAGTAATCATTATATTGTTGATTGAAACAAGACGGTCTCTTAATAAGTTATTGCAAGCCTGTGACGTTTTTGTTTATGGCTTGATCTATTAGTTCTACTACTAAAATTACTAATTTTTTTATGTTGGAATTTATCTTACAGGTCACGGTGCCTGCAATTTCACGTGTACGCCATACTAGGGCAGATAATCATTCAGATGTATGGGTAAATGATCTCCGAAAACTCCAACTATAGATTCAGCAATCCTATAACTATGTATTTATGTACATTTTAGACATAGTAACACAGAAAGAAAAACATACTACGTATAATGCTAATGTTAAGTGAAAATTGATGCAACTCCCAACTGTCAATTTGACTAGCTATAGTATCTAGTTTGATAAAGCAAATACATTTTATGTTTCTGAATGGCATATTAAATAAATAATTCAGTAGCGAATATTAGAGCAAAAGGGCAGGGCCCCTATGAGCCTTAATGAAGATCCTCCCCTGCAAGTAAGCTTTGCGAGGACTAAAAGGTTGTTACTTACTAGATAAAGGTTACTCTAGGATACCCTTTGTTAATGGTACTGCTAGAAAAAAGGGAAAAAAAAAAAAAACTCTTTGAAATCTAAGGATCAGATCAGTAACTTAACAGAAGTGTCTGTGTATTCCAAGACATACAAAAAAAAAAAAAAAAAAAAAAAAAAAAAAAAAAAAAAAAAAAAAACACTAAACTTTGTGCAGGACATCAAGCACAACTGATGCAATAATTTGTAATGTACAGCTGAATTCAGTACTTGGTATCAGATAATAAGGCGGCCGGATTCAAGTATTATTAATAAGGGGGAGAGACAAAGTCACCACTGAGATCAGAATCCAACAGTTCAGCCTCTAAATCATCATCAGCTTCTTGTGCTTCGGATTCTGCAGCCTGTTCTCCTATGGTTGCTTCCCTCGGCGTTTGTGCTTCTTTTATGATTTGCATAATCTCCTCTTCACTTTGGACCTGTAGATCACCACCGTTCTTTTCTCCATAGTTTGTCTTCTCCCCTTCAACAAGATCCTTTGGATAATTCTTCAGAAACCATGGGTGCTTCTTGATCTCAGGGATTGTGATCCTCTTCAGTGAACATCATACCACAGTCACAAACATGTATTATATATTATGACATATAGTGTTCATCTACAAAAAAATTGCTTGGATAAATTTTGGGTTCACTATAGAGTGTCAAAGAGGGTGTTACCTTGGAGGGGTTAGCGACAAAGATTTGTGAAAGGAGGTTCTTGCAGTCTGCTGATACGCGCACATAGTCTGGAATAGAGAATTGAACACCCAGTATTCTCTGTGCAGGAAAAAAGATTACTAACTGTACAACACAAATACAATAGCCATTGCACTAACAAGGGATATTTCCTTATAAGTCTTAATAACTCACTGCAATTGTCTTGCGGAAATTTTTTGGATCTTCAGGATCCTCGAAAGGATATCCTCCCACCAGCATCACATACAATGTCACTCCACAAGACCAAACATCAGCAATCTGCAACATCGAAACTCATTCTATAACCTATGTATAATTATAATCCATCCAATATCTGGTATATCCAACAATGATGTGGTTTGCAAATTGTACCTTCCCATCATATTCCTTACGCGACAGGACCTCAGGTGCAATATATGCAGGTGTACCCACTGTCGACTTAGGCTGTGAATGCAGTATCCCAGACTGAGATACAATGAAGGATTTAGTTTCAGCTGTTAGTCTCCGAAGAAAGAGGGGATTTAGCCCTCAAGACTTACAGAGAAATTAACTTGTAACACATACTTTGGAGTAACCAAAGTCGCATATCTTAAGGCGAGGTGATGGACTACCATCAAGCAGAGTATTTTCCAGTTTTAGATCCCTATGACAGATTTCCTGCAGCAATTGATACAAACAGAAACTCAGGTTCAGAATGACAGCAGCTGACTTCAGACATCAGCTGCAGGCCTGCAGTTGTACAAACAGAAACTCGGCGTACCATGGTATGACAGTAGCTGACTCCAGATATCAGCTGCTGGAAGAAAAACCTTGCCTGTTACTTGCACAGACAGTACAGTCAGACAGATGGAGCTTATTAGTAACAAATTTATGCACGTATTAACATCTAACAGAGGTTATGAACATATAATCAATACGAAAACACTGAAATGCAGTAATTGATAATAGCAACCTCGTCTTCACTAAATCGACCAGCACTACATATTCTGTTAAAGAGCTCTCCTCCAGCAGCATACTCCATTACAATCGCCAAATGCGTGGGTGTTACGAAAACCTAGTAAGATGTTTTTATACAAGTAAAACATACTCATCAAGTGATTCGAATTTTAATCTAACAATGAGCATTAAAACAATTAACACGAATCGAATTGATGATGTTTTAACACAATTAGGAAGTATGATCAAGTATACCTCTTTAAACTTGATGATATTTGGATGCTTTAATGATCGATGATTGATAATCTCCCTCTGAACATTCTCATCAATCTAAAACCAACATTTATATGATTAATTGATTAAACATATGTTATATACTCGTAATCCTTCAACAATTAGCAAAATTATATGCAACATACTCAATTTGTATAGAACAAGAAACATTATTTATTTTACAATAAAAAATGAAATTATCAAACTTGACTTAACTTTGACCATCATACAACTATGTACCTTTTTTTTTTTTCTCAAGATAATTACACAAAATCAATTAGCATATAAAGTATCTATCAAAGTATGAGACAAATAGCGATTTAGAAAATAACATAAAACACCGTGTATTTCTTCTCACGTAATTTGTTAGAGACATGAGATATCGAAAAATATACGAATCTCTGACATAATTTAACACGAATATATCATACAAACATTACAACAGTAACGTACTACATGGTAAACTGATCATCAGATTGTACAACTTTTGACCCATAACAAAACAAAAAATAAGCTAGCTTTAATAATTTTGCATAATAAAACACAAAATTCAACAAAATCAAAGCAAAAATAAATAAATTGAAAATGGTGATACCTTTTTTCCTCTTTCAATGTATTTAACAGCAAAAAGCTCCTTAGTTTTCTTATCAATCACCAATCTAGCAACTCCAAAATTCCCAGAACCTATTTCCTTTATTGGTTCATATCTCTCCATGTTTTACAACCAAAAAAAATGATTTTTTTTAATTAAACCCAGAAAAAAATTCTTAATAAAAACTTGTTTTGGGGTTTATGAAGAACAAAAGAAATAATGTAGAGAAAAATGTAGGAGTTGAGATGTCTAATAAATAAATAAATGCATAAGAAAATTGGTGTGACGTTTATATAAATATATGTATATTTTGTAGAAAAATATTTATATTTCTGTTACTACAGTATTACTTATTCTTTATTTTAATTTATTGGTCAATGGTCAATTTCTTGGAAATTAAAGTGCAAATTATTCCCTTTTCTTTTCTTTTGATTACTGTACATTTTTGTTTAATATTCTAAATTAAAGAGAGAATTTGGAGGACACGTATGATTAGGACTATTAGGAGCAACTTGCAACTTTGCAAGAGTCGGCTGGATAATGACAGCTAACCTCACAGGATGACACATACTACGTACTTGTATGTTAATTTTGTTAATTAAATTATGTCCACATAATTATTATAGAGTTGTTTAATTTAATAATGATAGTTAATATGTAGGTTAATATCAAGAGATGCTCCTTTCGGTTACAAGTAAGGGGTTGTTCACATTTACTTAATTTTAATTCAGTTCCAATCAGTTCAGTTCCAATCAGTTCAATTCAGTTCAGCTCCTAATTTCTCTCTCTCATAAAATATTCATTTCAGCTCAGTTAGTTCAGTTCAGCTCCAATCAATTCAGTTCAGCTCAGTAAATATGAACAAGCCCTAACTCTCGTAAAGAATGTCTTTAGTATGATACTCATTCTTCTCTAGGTATTGGGTTTAGAATCTATACTGTATATTAAATGTTGTTCTTAAATAAGTTTACATGTCACGTGGCATGAGAGTTGAACCCACAACCTGCTTGAGTTTAAAAGTTAAAGTGTAATATTATCATATTACATGTTATTCTACTAAAATTAAATATAAATAAGGATTTTAATCATAGAATTAATGCAGTAAATCAAGGCATTACCCGAGCCTACAAACTAGCGGTATGGCAAAATTAAAACATGTTCAGATTATCGATACGCTCATAACTCAAATAATCGGAGTTCGTTTTAGAAATCCTTGAGATGAGGTGGGTTTCACTCATACGGCAGACTTGTATAGTTGTATGTATCAAGTAAAGGGTCGGAAATTGTATTTAAGAGTACATCAAATACATGGTTTTAGGTACTACTCAGTATCAAATATTATACAAACCTTGTTTTATTAAGGTTTTAAACTCATAATACACTAAACAAAACGTCAAGTATTACTCAATAAAGTGTAACCTCAAAACCATACTTCATAGACTCAAATACTAAAAATGAATAAATAAGAGAACAAATAAATATACGCTTTTTTTATAACTGAATATAGTTAATATATGTGTCTCACTAGAAATGATAGGAGTACTAAGTAATTTACCTTTGATTATTAACCCTCTATCATACATTTGATTCTTGATATTGTAAAATTGTACTAGCAATATTAAAAATGATGGCATAAAAGTATAGGATTACATTAACAAAACTTAACTTACATTGTTAAAAATGAGCATGTTGTCAAGCCAGGTCCCACTTTCTAAAAAAAGGTGGTGGTTGCTCCATTCAATCATTCATTTTATATTTTATTAACCCTAATTGTAGCTTCTGTGTTTTTTGTTTTTGTTTTTTTTTTTTTTTTTTAGGTAAGACTTAGGAGGCAAGAAAAAGTGCTCTACTAGAGGGTAAACAATAGATCCCTTGGAAGCAAGGAAAGCAGAATTCTCGATAGAGTTTGAACCCTGATAATCACAAATAATATCAACTATGAGATACAAACCTTCACCCTAGTCTAATTAACAAGGTAGGATTTACTTATTGGTAAGTTGTTAACTTACCGTGTTGTTAATAGTATATATACTACCTCCATTACATATTAGTTGTAGCTTTATAATATTTTATCTCTAACAAATAATCCCCAAAGTTGCAACTAATATGTAACGGAGGTAGTAAATGGATACATATACGATTGTTAATGATACCTTTATCGCGTAAAAATGACAACTTAATTAATTAATGTATTGTATGTGCTAATGGTCTAATGTGATGTTAACTGTTAAGCATTAATTATTGAACGTCTCCTTGATGGCCAAGCAGCTCCTTGATAATTTTGCAATACCTATATATTAATAGTTGACTTTGATTACTACTTTCATGAATATCAAATTGTCAACTAATCTCTCGTTTCAACATGAATATTTATGATAAAATTACACTCGGTACTCCGTAATATGGAGTATGTCAATTGGCCTGGTATTATTAAATATTACTCCGTAATACTTATTAGTTAATACTTTATTGTTAAATTATAGATATTGTTTTTCCCTTCTAAAAACTAAATTTGAGTTTTTTAACGTTTTACTGTGGAAGTACAATCTATATTACTCAATTCCATTCATAAATTCAAGAGTTGAAACCAATCAATTAAAGAGTTTATGTCACTTTCATGACGCTTTAATTTATACATTAATTATCTTATGGTTTTTAAATACGAAGTATTTTCCCCCCTCTATTCAATAATGTACTCTTCCTATTAAATTCTTTTTAGTGATAATGTATATTTCTCCTCTTCTATTTCGTCTAAATCAAATTACTATTTTAGTATTCAAAATTCGACCAAAACTAGTGGCGGTGGGTGTGATGTGTGAAAATGGATCTAGTGATGATATAATAACGCTATAAAATATGATAATTTTATGTATATGGCATTCATCGTTAGTTGATATCCTTGGAAGTAAGGTATAATTTGTTTCTCAAGTACAGCTTGGTCAAGTGGTACGGGATCAAACCCCAGTAAAGCACCTTAGGGTGGAGATTCCCTTACCTCCCCCCTCTCAAAGTACCTAGCCCGCTAATTCAGATCGGGAGGACGTGTTGTGAGAGGTTCCGACCCGACAGGGTCCTTCTTCTTACCAAAAAAAAAAAGGTTTCTCATTATACTATATATGTTACTATGCAGATGAAATTGTTTCTTGCATTGCAAATTTGCAATGACTTATTTCAAGTATCTCATACTTAATTACTTACATATGATTTCCTAAGGCTCAAATACATTTTTTTTTATGATCTATAATACGAAATACGGAATGTGATGTATGATCTTTAGGCCTATCAATCTAAACATGGTCTTTCAAACTGTAGTTGGTGTATTGTTTATGAGAATAATGACATTTTACCAAATAAGATTTAATCTATTGAAAAGATTTACATATCATGATCACGAGTACACTGATCTCTTAATCACGAGGTTTAAGATCAAATCTCATTAGATGGTACATTAGGGCGGGAACTCCCTTACCCTTATACATGAATCTAGATTGAGTTAACCTCTGAGAGGTTCTGCCTTTAATCCTTTCTAAGGGTTTCCTTTTGCCTTGCCAAAAAAAAAAAAAAAAAAAAAAAAAAAAAGTTGTGGCAATTTAAATCTTGTTTAAATATGAGATTTAATTGTCATTCTGCCATTGGCTTGGATAAGAACTACCTGAGCATGTCTTAAGATTTTTATTTGATGGGCTTTGTGGGTCAAAATATAAATGTGGTTGGTCCGTTGGATCTAGTCAATATAAGACCCATAATGATTAGCTATTTTGGTATCCAAAAGTTTAAACAGTAGATAAGTTCAGTATATTTGCCCAGTTCATTGTGATTAAAGGGTATGCACATTAAAAAAAATAAAAATAAAAATAAAAATAAAAATAAAATAAAATAAAATAAAACCCTATTGGCTTATGTGTTTATCAATATTATATAGTAGGTTCATTATCTCTTACATACAGATTAGGTTCATTATCTCTGACTTTTTTGTTCATCATTTTTATTATTTTGGATTTATCATTAGTCTAATTGCTCAAGTTATAGCTTTATTATATTTTACATAATGGTGCTCAACGTTTAAACCACAGGTTCATCACCTTTGGCCTATATCCCTAAACTATAGCTTTATAAAAATTTAAAAATAATAATAAAATAGAAAGTAGGTTTGTTACCACGAAAACCTATCATATGCTTATTGCCTTTGGCTTATTTATGTTGTTTAAATGGTAGGGGTCATTACATTTTACATATGTACTACAATGTTCTCACATAAGAGAAGTATGATTATACGCGGTATGAATCCATATTCTTAGTACACACACACACAAAAAAAAAAAAAAAAAAACACTAATTTTTTCTTAATTTTACTACAGAAAATACTAATTTGATTGATTAATGAAAAGATTAAACTAATGGTTCAAAAATCAATAACATGTAACTCAAAATCAAATCTGGAGTGTTTTCTTTGAAATGCGCCATTAAAATTGTTGTAACAAGATGATGTTGATACATCGACAACTTTCTACTTCAAGCCCATCAAAACAGCATTATCGATTGGACCAACTAATTGGCTAAAGACTAGGCCCAATATCAAATGCTCTTCTTTTTTTCTTTTCCTTTTTTTTTCATATTCCTGTTGAACTTAACATCCCCTTAAAATTTATTATGCCTCACCATAATTTGTCATAAGAAAAAAATATTACTCCCTCCGTGTATTTATAAGTGTTAAACTTAAACGAAACACGCATAGAGGTGATTATTGGGCGGTCCAGGCCGGGTTCCGGCCAAGCCGAAGCTAATAAACTAAGCCTACTCTCGAGGCGGGCCAAGCTTTGGGTTAGAATCTTTGTGCCCAACCCCGCAAGTCAGGCCGTGCGGGCTTTTCAGGCCAGGTAAAAAAAACAACTAAATATGCATCAAAACGAATTCCCAAACCAGCCCAAAAAAAAAAAAAAAATTTTTGGGTCAGACCCGACCTGACCCGATTTCAGCCCAAAATTGGGCCGGTCCAACCTTGATCACCTCTAAACACGCATGTCAAGGCACCTAGAAATAGGTGCACCAGGCCCAATATGTGCCCAGCTCAGAAGGATCCATGCCCAACATAAAGAAGCCCACACCCAATAGTAAGAAGCCCAACCCTTTTTTTTATTTATTTATTTTTTCCTATATTGAATTTTGATATTATCTTTTTTCTTTGAAAATCTAAATTAAAACTTTCAACAACCTTTTCTTATTTAATCATCTTCCTTTTTTTTTTTAATTAAGATTATTTTTGTTTCCCTCA